TTTTWWTTTTWWTTTTTTGGTCTGCTAAACTACAGCACTTTTTTTGGTTYGGTTCACCAGTTCAAATCCCCTTGCAAAAATCATGGATTTGGAATTTAGGCAAGAAAAAAGCATGATAAATAGTTAAAGAATGCATACGAAAATATGCTTGTGATAAAAAAGATGAGGTACAATCTACCTATGTAAACAGGAACTGGCTTGTTGAAAAGGGAGAGGCTTATCTGTGAGCAGAGCCTTTTTTCTCCCACTTATAATGGCTGACCCTAACCTGTAAGGTTACAGGGACTGAAGTTTGGTCTCATCCTATTCAAGACCCATACGAAACAAGCCTGGGAGAGGGGGTACTGTGGGTGGCTTAGTGATAGTAATGTATGATGGGATTGGAAAACCCTAGCTCTAACTACRACAAGAATATCTTGGGGGAAAAATCAATCCCGCAAAACCATACCCTATACAGCAGAATAGTACCATGCAGGCTACATATGGGAGTAYAACCACCTCTACCCAGGGAAAGGAAGTGATATTTTACAGGATTGTTTTTGTTCTCAACTTACCATGACAAGTCAAATGACAAGCAGCTTTGGACAAGAAGTTATTACTGTTGCCATTACAGCCTCCATAGATGAACTGCTGACATTTTTTAGTCTTGTGGTTGTAGAACCACCGTGGAAAGTATCCCATACAATATCCTGGTTTTAAGGGTAGCTGACATACGCCTAGTCCTTACAATAACAAAATAAAAGTTCAAAGAATTTAGAGATAAAGCTTTCAGAAAGGAATGTACCCTACAGATCCCGCCCTAGCTAGCTACTTGACAAAAGTAGTTCTTTAAAACAGTTGAAGTGAAAATCTTTGAATTATTTATTTTCTTGTTTCGTTGATTTATTTCGTACTAAATCCTTTCTAAAAGTTGTCTTTAMTAACAGAATTGTTTTATAAACCCTTTTAAAAAGGAAATTTGTATTAGCAATTGAAAGTCAATCCTGTTATCACCAACAATGGATATTAATTTTCTGCTCCTTATCCTCTTCTATTATCAAATAAAGTTTACTTACAAAACAGTTAGAAAGCTCAACCTTTGAGCTCTTAAAAGCGCACTTTTGAGATTAAAAGTGCCGTCTTCCTTTAATGTTTGTTTAATATCCATTCAATAATTTAAAATATGCACTTTGAATTGATAATTCTAAATYCTATTTTAAGATTCTAGGAAATTAATTCGTCATTTCTTGATCAAATTTATCTGCTGCAACTCAAACTTGTAGAGAACTTTCCAGTGAAAAGTTCTTAAGAGTTTAGATTCCTAAAGCAATTAAAAGTTAGTTTCTAGAGAATGTTATCCATTTATTACGTGTTGGTATGTAAGATGACATGATGAATGAGAGGGAAGATGTTTTAATATGTGATGACGTTCTTGTGGTTACAAGCCATGCAAATGTTGCTTTTGATGACAAACAACAAGTTTACATGTCATCGAAGAAAACCGATCTTAAAATTGCAACTTATGTCTTCCTTTGTTTCCTCGATCAAAGTGCATTTAGAAATAAGAATATACTTAAAGATTTGCCGAGAATTTTACGGGTAGATATAGATATTTGTTAGCCGGATTGTTTCGACAACTTACCGATGCTGGAGCTTGTGGGTTTTGTGGTTGTATTAAGAGGCTTTTGAATGCTTGATGGCAGCTATTGAGCAAACATATTAGGCTTTAAGTAAATAAATGATCAAAAAGACTCACTCTTAAAACAAAAAACTTAGCACACATGTTTGTACTTACGAGCACCACAAATATTGATAGAGCAACGCTCTTGAAAAACAAATTGGTCGCCATTTTAAGTTTCCTGTCGAAGAGTGATTATCAATTACAGATTCGCTGCGTTTAAATAACGGTGATCAGGATGTTGACATAGCTGACGTCACATCCGGTAGAATCTAACCGGGGAGGGGCTGTAGTGTGTCAAAAATCATTYAAGATCATTCTTGTCTTTACAAGCTGCCCTAGCGTAAAGCAAAATGAATCTGCCTTCTGATTTGATGTTGTAAAACGATTCTTGGAGTAACTGCTTTTGGATAAGCAATGTTTATTGCTTTGAAGAAAACTCCTTTTATGGACATTTCCTTGTTATTGTTTGGCGCGCTTTACGCAATGTTGATATTTATGATGTAATTTCCCTGTGAAAAGCATTTTTTGTAGCGGTATAATTTAGTTTGGCCTATAGTACCCCACTCCTCGCAAAAAAAGACCAGAGAGCCGCTACGCAGGCTAAGTGCGTCATTATTCCTTCGGCTTGGTACTCAATCCCAAAGTCTTACTCTTTTTTTCTTCCTTCTGTCTTTTTTGTTTTTACTTGTTAATCGTAGACCTATGATCACCTATTTCGATTACAGTCAGCATTTGGAATAGTTGTAAAAATGGCTTTACGATTCGCGAGATGGATTTCACTAGTGACCGAAGCAGACGCAACTCCATGTTCTAACTGTGAAGGGAAGCCACGCAAGCGCTAGAGTACGGAAGATTTTGCATTCCTTGCGTCGGCTTGCGTCGGTAATGCCTAACCAGATAGAAATGACAAGCCAAAAACCGCAAATAGAAAATAATAAAAACTAAAATGTAAAACGCTGTGAAGGTCTGAGAAACGGTACAATGCCCACTGTCTTTATTAAACAGCTAAGTTCGTTGTCATCAACTCCAGTTATATTTTTCATAAAACTTGTTTAAAAAACTAGCAAACTTTACAAATCATTTCTAATTACTACGGCTATTATTTTGTAATTTAAAAATTTTCGCTCTCAAAAATATAAATCTAACTGTTTTTCACCATGCAAGACCAGCACCACGGGTTTGCTATATTCAGTTATAAATTTAATTAACAGATATTGATTAAAATAAGACGACTTAAGTAAAAAATATATTGCTCCACTTTACAAGTCTTCATTGTCACGTGGGTTGATGGTGTTGTCATCTGAAAGAAAAAGGGATGGGTGTTATTCGTGTGTGTTTGTCATGTGATATGTAACGAATGGCACACGGCACGCGCGGGAAACGAGTGGTAAGCCACTTTCATCAAATGCAAGTGGTATTTTTCATGATTCTTCGATAACTAAGGTGGTATTTCCTTTCATAGATAGAGTGCATAGCATATATTCGCGTGAAGAAAACATTGTAAGAAATTCCCCAAATTTGAACAGATCATTAAGTTCAGTAGACCTCAGTAGACCGTAGATCAGCAAACTTTGCACTAATTTGTACAATTTTGTTAKTTAACATTTTTATAGATTTATAGTATGCACTCTACCAAAAAGATAATATATGGGTCGTCGAAAATTGGTTACCATTAATTAAATGCACAGATAAAGAGAAATATATAATTTTTTTTTTTGTTGTTGAGATTTGTTATTATGATATAAATAGAGCGATTGGATTAGAGCGGTGTGAAACATACGGTACTGGAAACGGTACTGATGATTGACAGCACGTACGTACGACATGCGGTAACACTAAAATGGCTTCCCATTGCCTTTCAGTCAGTTCAATCAATCACAACGCGCAGTTACGGGGCTAAGTACGGCAATATTCTCATAAAGAACACAAATTTGAAAAAAAAGAGAATTGGTGGAACATTTTGATATTGGCTGTAAAATGAGTAGTCKGTCTCACGTAACAGCATCTATAAGTAGAGGAAGGGTAGAGGAACGACTAAGATAGCCTGTAGGGTTGATCTGCCTTCAACAAATCCCTTTCTTCCCGGCAACCTAGCATCGCCTTCTGTACTCTTATCTATGATGGCCGGGAGCCAATCCTGCAGGAAGGGGATACTGTATTTCAGACGTACCACAATCAGTTTTTCCTTTCTTGTAGGTGCCCTCGATYTTGCCACCATTACGGTCAACACACCAACAGAACTCAGCCGTTGCCTTCATATGACACTGCATGGGTAGGAAGAACCCGTCCGYGTCACATCGAGGTAGAAAGTGGCCTGGAAGAGGGATTGGTTGGCCTCGTTGGACGATGGTTGGGACATCCTTCAATTTAGCAAGACAGGGTGGTTCTGGGGTTAAACAAGTTAATTTATTAAAAATGTGATAATCGAGGAGCGAAAATATTAGTTTTGTTTGATCCATAGTGATATCACTGGAGGAATAGTATGGGGCTCTTGCATGGAACCTGAAGTAGTACGAATATTGACAGTTTCTTACCAACGGGGAAACATTCACAAAATTCTTGGACGGACAGTTGTTCGTCCTTGGTCTTGTCACAGCTGTTTAGGAACTGCGTAATGCAGTGTTCATAAGGGATCTGTTTGAGTTCYAGCAACTCTTCCTGGCCCAACACGTGATCATCATTCATGTCCAGGTAATGGAACATGAAGTTAATAGGYTCACGGCATTCGTCATGGTGATGGCCTAATGAAACAAGCCACAGCAATGAATAGTTAAAGATATCGAGAAAAAAAAGAAAACGCGAACGTGTGCTGTGTGCAGTTATAAAGAACGAGGGGGTTGGCAGAACACGAAAGAAGTATTAGGAAAAACACGGCGAATACCAGCGTTATAAAATACTAATTACAACCGTTATTTTGAATAGGARTAGCGAAATAGAAAGTGCGCGCACGTGCTGTGTGCTCTCATAAAGCACGCGCTACAACCATTCAGAACGCCAGAAGTTATTTTGGATAGCAATGACGAAATGGAAAGTGCGCGCATGTGCTGTGTGCTTTCATATAGCACGCGCAACCAACCATTCAGAAGGCGAGATTTATAACAGTTATCTTACAATAGGATTTATAGGTATATGGTTTTTATATTCTTATAGACCGAGCGTGGTAAAGCAAAGGTCATTGCCTGTCCTCACGTATCTCTACACAGCTTTTTCTGAACTTGATGGAACATTCTCTWATTCGTGGTAAATGTTTTGYGCTTTAGTTCACACGTATCTGTGAAAAYGGGTCACCGGAAACGCAACTATCAAAAACGCTGTCCWAAGTGAAAATCGTTGAAAACACTGTTTTTCTGTGCTCCGAATAAAATCAAAACTTTTCTCATTCAATCATTATACTTGTATACTATGCGCATGCTTCGTCAAAGATGTTAGAGCTTTCGCGTGGACGAGCGCAACGCGTGGGCATCTTATCTATTTCTAGGGATMATGTGACTGGTGAATGGCGGGTCTTCARTGTRTGTTMCACTYACCACAAGGGTAGGGTTCATGCGCTTGTCTCAATTCCATCTGAGGAATTATTGGATGGACAACGGGYTTGCCGGCCTTTTTAAGGTTGTGCTTRATGTACTCTGACCTTAGAACGTGGAACCAGTCCAACAAACGACTTCCTAAAGTCGCGTTCTCGTACTGAGAGCAGTTGTCTAGAAAGAAAAAAAAAATCAAAACATGTTTTACTATAGGATGTCCTCGTCATGTTGTATCATCATCATATCAATAAGATCATAGAGAGTATCCGGCGTTAGCATCATCAATACCTATGACTTCACGACTATCAACATCGATTTGATGCCATCATCATCGTCATTACCAACATCATACATCATATTGCAATGTAATCATGGCATCATGCATAATCACTACGTCTATCAACACCAACACTAGCTACCACTGTATCGTGCCATCATTATATTTATTTCAATCATTATGGTCATCATCATCAATGCTACGCTGATCACCCATCAACATTACCACAATGTCAACACCAAAATCATGCATTCTTGTTACACTTATATTCCAACTCCGTCGTCAACATGCATCAACCATTCATGATCCTCAATACATCCTTTACATCGTTCTTCAAGGCGGCATTATTCTTATGCGATATTCAACAGTAACGACAGTCCTGAGTTAGTCATTTATAACAAATTCAAAATAACGCGGTGAGATTTTCAGGACTTGGAGAAAAAATATATTTCGTTTCAGTAAGGACACTCGAACCATGAGCATTTCGAGTTTTTTCCAGGTATTCTCCTGAACTTTCTACTCCTCTAAAAGAAAACATTGAAAATACTACGTAGTATACCGAGTGATTTAAATAAATCTTATTTCCAAGCGATTGGCTCAAGGGATGATTTATGATATACATTTAAAATAAGTGACAAAAACTGTCACTTGTTTTAGGTTCTCCCCATAGCTTTTTATTTTTTTTTATGCAGTGTAAAATCATTAAAGTAAAGTTTTTAAGTGACAAAAACTCGAAGTATTTACAGTTCCTCATTGTAAGACGAGATACATGTCCTTTACTGAGCAACTTACTCTCATCTGTTAGCTGCATGCCAGCCATCTGCATCACTTGCATCTTGTACTTCTGGAAGTCATGCTTGTACTTCTTCCATTGATTCCATTTCTTGTACCTCTTGGAACTTTTAATATTCTTTAAGGTCATATAAACATTTATTATCAGTACAGTGAAGTTCTTGCAAGGACTTAATTTAATCTGAGCGCGCGACCTAGCGTTTTTCAGGGTCTTTCTTGGTGTTGCAAGATGTAACGTATTCTGGGTTGCCATTCTTTGTATTGCAGGGTATTGTTTAGCTCCAAACTCATTGTTCTCGGTTATTTTTTATTGTCTTCATGCCTCAGGTGCCCTGCAACACCAAGAAAGAGCCGGGTTTTTTTTTTGGACCATCAGAAGTCCAGGTCTGAAATAGGTTTCAGATTTCTTAAGATCTTATCCAACTAACTGGACCTGTTGCTACATCAGTAATATCTAGGCACACACTCAGCCAGCAAGTTCCATTTATAAGGAACTGAACCCAACGAACCGAACGAGTACACTGCCGYACACACCCATTTGAATCATTCCGAGATATAAGGAATTTTAGAGAAGCACAAATTTCACATGTGYGTGATACCTCAGTTTCTTCCATTTCTTCTTCTTCTTCTTCAGGCTGCCCTTCGGTAAGATACCCGTCACTATCCCTCGTATCTGCTTTAGGCAGTCTGTTACTGTCGATCATGTGTTCCTTCACTCGATTTCCTGAAACAAAAAACAAAAATAAATAAATAAAAATAGTCAGTTAAAGTTTTGCTTTTAGTGGGAGAGGAGTGCGGTTTGGTGGTTTGGAGTTTTTATCAGCCGCATTTGAAGGGGTGCTTTTCGCTTGATCGCAAAAATCAACGTATGTCACCCCCTCATAAACTTTATGATACGGTGACCCATAAGAGATATGCAGCACGTATGACGAGTTGTTGCAAATAAGAAACGAGTTGCTGCAAGTTAGACGAGTTGCCGTAAATAATAAACGGAGTTGCTGCGTGTTATAGATGATAAGTACTGCGGACCAGTTTGTCGATTAGGATTGGTCTAGTTTCAGTACAGAAGCTTAGTTTAATTTTTAATAATTTCTAAACTTAACGAATCTTTTAATAATATTTTTAAAGTTACAAAAAAAGAATATTGCAAAAGTTTTTAGATAGGTTTTAAGATTCAGGTCACCCATCCAGGTACTAACTTCGCTCAACCGGACTTGACTCRGTGTCATGGAAGCCCAAGTTTTTTTCCACTGGACCACGGTTCCAGGTTAATTAGCATAACAATAGCCGTGAAAACAATGCACCGAATAGACTAGACTTTTTGACATTATACTTTCAACCGATTCCGTGCGTGGCAGAGATGCAAGGGATYAGCCGATATGGTCTGGGGGCCGGCTGGTCTCTCCCCTGATGCTTCGGCTAGAACATTTTCTTGCGTAATTCGTRCACCCAAGGGCAGAAGGATTTAATCGCCGTCAGGTCCGAAGTCCATACGACGCCCCAGCTCTGCGGATGTCTCGGGGGTATGGCACAGTGGAATCATTTTTAATTTTTTTTTTTTAATTGAAATTTCTGTCGTTGGTTCAAACCCCATCGTAAACAGAAAAGACTTTCTTTTTATTTCTATTTTTTTAAGACAGAGTGACTACCTGATTCCTTTCTTCTCATATTTATAATTAATTTACTCAGTGGCAAGTGCTTTTACTCCACTTGGTTTTGGTTCTCGGTATATTTTCTCTCTATATGTGGTTGTAATTTAT